TGCTTGATGAGTTCTTAGAAAGCTGAGGGCGTATCAGCTTACCCAAACTTTGTGACGATGAGGACCGTGACATGCCGAGTTTCTTGAAGCGAGATCGCGCCGCTGCTGGAGCGTGCTCCGGAGGCTCTCGTAATCCGAACAATCCAGTATCCGGGTCAGCTTGTGGTGCTTTTTCGATTAACTCCTGTACTGGTAGATTGCATGCCGCGATGAAATCGTTTCCCGAGTACTTATCGTGGTCAATAACCGTGAATGAGAATGAATACTGTTGCTCGTGGCTCTGCACGTGGAAAATCATTTTTTCGTTATACACAGGATTCAAGTTATGTCTGACACGGCGAGTTCGATAGGTCTTCTTGCCCAGAGACGCAACCACGAACGGGTCCATATCAAAGCTCGTTCTCGTCAAATTGGACTCGGGCGGCAGATCAGTAATTTTGGAGATCTCGAGGAAGATGATGCCTACGACATCCGAGTAACCGTTGTTGAAAGCGTAGGGGTTGTCTCTTCTTCGTTTCTTTAAGCCCTTGATCCTAAGTCTACGGCGTCGTTTTTCAGCTGTTTCGGGCTTGGATGGATCCTCACTTTCCTCCTCATCAAATTCAGTAAGCTCCTCCTCGTCATCTTCAAATCCTTGTTCATCGTGACCAGGTGTCCCAAAGGGAGCTCCGAGAGTTGCAGGTGTTGTCAAGAGGGGGGTTGCTGACGGTGTAGTTCCGGGGATGGAGCCAATGAGAGCATGGAACTTGTCCAAAATCTCTCGGGACGAAGCTCCCAGGTTGGTGGTGTCGAAGAGAGTGAACTGTAACAAAACCTCTCCAGACACAACTCCAGTCTTTTTTCCTGGTCTTTTGCTCTTTAGACGGAACCAGGCTGGTTCTACTTCGGTTCGCTCGTGTTGGAAAATTTCTTCCAGAGCTATATCGAATTCGCCCATATAATCCTTGCCGAAGCGGTCCTTGTCCCAGCAAATAACATCCAGGAGGAGATTGTGAACAGAGGTCACCGGGAACTCTTCGATGACGTTCCATTCGGGATTGAGAGTCTTGGGAACTGAATGGGTAACTATTCGAGTATCGCCGGACGTGACCACAAGATACTAAAGGACAACCATTAGTCTCCTGACGTGTAATGAGGGGTTCGCGCCGGCCACAACGAATCAGGCACAGTGAAGCATGGTCAGCACAGCTTACCGGGTCAGAGGTGCCTGAGCGATCTTTCGCAGCTAAGTTCTTGGCCTATAGACATAATTTAGTACGCAGGACCCAGACATGAAGGAATATTGACTCTCGAGCGGCATTGGGTGGAAAATAGCACACCTTCAAAATGACCAGCTTTAAAGCCAGACCGCTGACAGTCTCGACTCCAGGCCCCGCATTGTCTGCCTTAGAAGACCGCATTGGACCTGCACTCTGGCTGTTGACAGAATTTACACTTGAAGATGAAAGAAGACGGGTTGGCTTTATCCTCATGACGCAGGAAAGGAACCGGTGCGGATTCGGTTTCGTGAAGAATAACAGCTCAAGTTCGCCAGGCACTCACACGGGCGAGCAGCGTGAAGAGGTCCTTTGAGGCGGGTTCTAGGTCTCTGGGGTCGTGACGCCACTTTGTCCAGCTGCACGGAATACTGTGTATCAACTTCTCTTACGCACTGTGATCGCCGTCATTACCTGCTGCACGGCTGAGTCGGCATATGTACGAAGATGAGGAGGCTCTGAGGCCACCCCATTTTCACAATCGACTTGCCTGGTGCATGACGTTCCGAAAGGACGCAAAAGCACGGCAGGAATTTGCGCACAGCCATAAGGCGCTACGTGTTATTTGCGCGAGCACAGGCGGATGTGTTGTCGCGTCACTGCGGGGGAAGGTCTCAAATGACAGTTGGAGGGTAGGCTGACGTAGGTTGGCAACGGTTGCCTGTCTGTTTGTGTGCTTATACATGCATGCGACACAATGTCGAAGTCCAGGGGATTCCGAGCAATTCGCTGCGCGCATTCCTCTATGGCCCTACTATAGTACTAGTTATGAATATCAAACACCGCCCATCAAATTCCATTGACGAGTTGTCCCAGGGAAGAAGCAAGCAAAATGTCGTGTGTCTGGGGGTACCTCACCTCGAGGTCTGCGCCAAGACTATCGACATCTACAGCTTACCGGTGACGTAGAGCCAGCTTACGTACGGAAGGAGTGAGTACCTGAGCAAGTACGGCTGAGTAGCTGCCGCAGCAGTCGATCTTAACTTTGAGTTTTAAATATAGCACTTGTACGGAGTATCCCGTAACCAGTAAAGAGTACTTCAGCACTGCATGCAATCTTACATGTGCATGTTCTCATTGTCAATTAAAAATCCAATCATAGCCAATGGAGGCAGGGCTCCTTCGTTCAGCTTACAATACAATGAAGTAAGTGCAGCCATGGCAACCAGCCAGTCTGCCTGCCCAGTTGCGGACGAAATTGGTATTTACGACAGCAATCAACCGTGGCCAAGCTGCTCAAATGAGGCAATGCAACGCAGTCCCCGGTACAGTGCTTCAAAACCCTCGTTGTACGGTCTGACATGGCGCTGGAGTTTGGCGCTAGGCTCATCACAGCAGTTCCAGACGGCGTTTTCGATGAGGGGCATTCAATCATTAAACCTGTTCAGCTTTGGTGAGTAAAGCCTGTGCGTCGTTCCTTTTAACTAATTAGTTACTATAACTTCTTGAACCAGCGTTCAACTGCACACGAAATAGAGTCAATGCCAACTGACTGGATTCCAGCCCTCCTCGCCCTGGACGAAAGGGACGCCAACCAAGGGGCAGAGGGGGCACAAGGAGTCCCGATTGTCTCGGTTGTGCCATGATTATGACGGGCTGAGCGGGCAAACCCATTCTCCGTGCCTGACCACGCAGACTGCGCAGGACATTGACTATTGTAGGTCGATCCGGGGAACCTCGGACAGGTTGCAATGCCTGGTGAAGGGATGATCTGGATGGATCAATATTGCCGCATGGCGCGGCCGAAGAGACTCGCTTAAGGTATCAATGAGAAAGCCCCTCTGATCACCGACACCAGCCAATTCCTTCAACGAGTTTCCCGTCGGAAGTGCACAAAGTCCATTTTATCGCACCCAGCTTCAAGGCGCTGAAAGCTGACTTTGTTACTGCCAATCTACGACATTGGAGCACGTCCATCAGGCTGAGGCCAGATGGTGTTGGATACGAACATAAAGTATTACATCACCAAAATGGTCAAAGTATATGCTCGCAGGCCTTTGTATTATTCCCAGTTCACCGCTATTTCTTTTCCTTTATGCATGATGTTTTCTAGCATTTCGTCCCAGATTTTGTTCGGCCACAACCGTTCAACCAAAGCATTCAATCACTGCCTCCGGAGTAAGGAGTAGAGAATTGGCGCAGTCCCACCTCGCTGCTGCTAGATGCGGTATTGAAGACAGACTGTGGCGTGCAGCCGTTCCTAGACAGTTCGGTACAATTCCGTGCATATTATCAGACAAAAGTTGAAGCTGCTAACGAAAACGAATTAATACTAAATGCCCTCGGCCTCAAAGCGGTTAGCATAGAATGGGGAAAAGTTAGATAATACTGCTACTGCTACTGCTAATAATAGTAGCTACAGGCTAGAATTCTAGTCACAATAGTAGCGGTTAGTTGGGGGAAAAGTTAGATAATGCTGCTACTAATGCTGTTAATGCTATTGCTACTGCTAAGGATATTGCTACCCACGCAAGGATAGCCATTCTCACCAGGCAGATGTTTAGGTTAGTGCCTAAGGTGCAAAAAAAGCAGGGTCTGCTTAGTGGGGGGACTAGCGATACAGGGCTGGTAAATAACACAAGAGTACTCCGTACTATAATACAATAACACAGCACACTAATTAGCGCTCTAGATGGCATAATATCTGGTGCAAAAGATAAAGAAAATTATGGCGCATACAGTGCAACAAGAGGTACCGCCGTAAATGCAGCACGCGGCGCGCAAACTGCCAAAAACCAAGGGGGCGTCCGCGGCACGGCGCAACAACAAGTAACACAGCCAGCAACACCACTACCAGCACGCCAGACAGAATAATACCCGGCGCAAAAGATGCACAAGAGCCCAGCGCACGAGGTGTACTAAAAAAACAGGGCTTGAAACAAAGCACCTGGCGTGCAATCGGCTAAAATAAGTCTCACATGCCAACAACCATAACTCGACCACCGGCGTCCGCAACAGCACGAAACCTGGTGCACAAGACTCGCAGACACGCAGCGCACACGATGCAGCCAAAACAACGGCGCTCCCGGCCACTCTGCGGCGGGCAGCGCACAAAATGCCAGCGGGATGGGTGGTTTTTTGCTCGGTTTGTGACCAAAAAAAGGAGAAGACAGTGGCAGGAAAAGGAGGAAGACTGTAGGCCGTCTCGTTGAGACTAGGACGGAGACCTTGCAGTTCTTATAGTGAAGAGTAATAACTGTAACAGATTCTCAACGAGGCGGCCCACAGTCCTGTCCCTTTTCCTGCCACAGTCTTCTCCTTTTTCTGGTTAATTTGACAGGAATTTGACTGCTATTTATCTCTTTTACGAAGCCTAGGGGCTTCGGGTGACAAGTGTATTAATACCGGAAGGCAAAGCAAAACAAGAGGCAAAACAATAAATACAGCAGCAAGATAACTAATAGTCCCTCCTATAAGGGTCCAACAGAAAACAAAAAGGCAGAATCCACGGCGCTAGATAGCTACCCTAGGTGTTCCCAATTCCACGCACACAATACTTAATAAGGAGTAGCTATAAGAATTCAAAGGCAATCAAGAAGAGACGGGGAAATGCGCACTTCACTAGGGGTCATTTTAAACAGTATAACACTGAGCGAAAAATGTTGTTCGCTGAGTATGTCTGTGTCTGTGTCTGTGTCTGTTTCATTGCCTTTATGGGCCCGGCGCTCGCCCAGGGAAGGAGCGATTTCATATATATTTTTCTATATCGGCACAGTAATCAACGAAGTGGTTGGGGCACCAAAAGCCCCCGTGGCCTAATGGTTAAGGCGTGTGACTTCTACCTTCTTAGAGAAGTGTAATCCCAAGATTCAGAGTTCGAATCTCTGCGGGGGCTTTCAGTTTTTTTTTTTTTGGGGTTTTTAGGTCTATAAGGCTGCGTAATGTAGAATAAGCATAATTTTACGTGCTAATTGCAAGCAAAAGTGATAATGTTGTGTAATTAATTATTGTTTGGGGACAATTTAACTAGGTCTATAAGGCTGCGTAATGTAGAATAAGCATAATTTTACGTGCTAATTGCAAGCAAAAGTGATAATGTTGTGTAATTGATTATTGTTTGGGGACAATTTAACTAAGCCATTGATGTGGCATTAGCTCCGCAAGAGATAATGCCTCAGCGACCAAAAACACAATAGAATTAAACAAAAAAAAATATTAACTATTATATAGCTTAGTTAGCTATCTAGGTAATAAATTTTATTAATATTAAGCTTTAATTGTATCCGTGGTAGGCGTTTAAATTCAAAGGGTTAATTGGATAAAGTGGACGAAATGGCTTAGTTAAACTGTCCCCCGTATGTAACCCTAGTACCTTTACTCCGTAGGTCTAGCTTAGAAATTATAATAATAATTATTATACGGAGTATAAGTTTTATAAATTTAAAAGACACACAGCGCACATACTAGATACGGCATTTAAAGTAACACTACTCCGTAAATGATTTCTAATTAAACTATGGAGACCAGACCCTCTCTTGTTACGTGCTGGTTCGGCCAGTGGGATGCTGGACGCGGCACGTGGGTTGTCGATATTAGCTGTGAGATTAGTATTATAGGTGTATAGATAAGTGTACATGAAACAAAGCAATGCACAAGTCAGATGTAAGATGGTTGTAAGATTCTTGTTGATTCTAACCGTGTCAGTTATAGCTATCTAATGTGTAACACTCTCTGATTTAGTCATGATCCGTTGTAACCAGGACAAACCGGCCGATATGATCTCCTCTCTGGGATTTTCTAGTTTCATACTGACTAGTATAGCTGCCTTTTTCGAAGCCTGGTATCTCCCTTGTGCGACAGAAACGTCGTTCTTTGTCGTGAATTTGATGTGGCGTAAGTTGATCCGCAAGCATTTCAACAAGAGTGTTCGCCCGAAAGAGGTTTCCCTCGCCCGCTATCTGGTACCAAGCCTCCACTGGTTCACCATTTTTGTTGGTAAAGAAGCACCTCATGCCAAAGCGCACGGCAGGATCTTCCGGGGTCGCAGACAACGCATACGGCACAGGATGCTGGTCACCGGGCTCACGAACGTCGAATTGGAGTCTCATGGAGCATTCCCCTGCCTCATCCTGCATGATGTCCTTATCATCATGAAGCTCGATTCGGCAACAACATATCTCTGATCGTCGTGAAGGGCTATATCCGGGAGGGGGGAAACCGATGTCGAACTCGTGTTCCCTAAATGCTTCTCCAGCAAATCGGGACCAATTCATTACCTGACCTTCAATCTTTCTCTTGCGACGCGTCGGTCTTGCCCGCACGTTCTTGGAGGATCTTGACCGCCTGCTCCTCAAGACTGCTTGTGCCTGTTGAATGACCTGCTTGGTGAGGGACGGTAAGATGTCTTCCATTAAAGGATCTTGGTCCGCTTCGGAACTAGTAGCCGTCTGTTGCCCTTCCGTGTCTTTCATGAGCGACTCGATATCGCTCACTAGCTTGGGCTGCGTCGTTTCGAGCTCACCGAATTCCAGAAGTGCCGACTCAGTTGCGCTTTTGTACGTCTGCGCACATTCCCGTTCCGTGTCGTCTCGAGCATTATCTAAAGCCAGGCCAGGCTCCTGAATAGACCCTTGATTATCCTCGATCCCCAAACCGCTCAATCGGGCTTTAATCTCGCTTTCTTTTGCCTCATACAATTGTGTATAGAGGAGGACAATCTTCTGCCATGCAGATTTGTCGAAAGCGTTTTTCGTCCGCGGAGCCTTATTACTTTTTACGTTGTGTTCGAGACGTTGATACTTCCCCGAACCCTTTAACCGCCTGCAGCGGTGGCCCGTAATAATCATGACGGCTAGCATGCCCCTGACGATAGACCCTGCAAGTCTGGCAAGTTCTTTGACATCTTCCTCCTTGAGAAAACCGCGTCGAGCCAACCAGAAATGAAACCCATCTGGCAAGGTCTCAAATGTTACCGGCTCAGCGCCCTCGGTCTTTTCGCGCCTTGCCATGGATTTAATCTCCACTACCAATGACGAATACGCTACAAAGTAAGGTCTGACCGTGCCCAGGCTTGTCAATTTTACTGCGCATCGGATTCCTTCGCTCAACTCCGTATTGATAAAGGAGCCCCCGGACCAAGCACTGAACGAGAGCTCCGGACAAACCAGGTGGAGGCGGCCGGACTTGTCGTCAACATATAAAGGATATTTGAAGGGTCCTAGATTTATCTCATATCTTGGTGGATTGTTAAGAATTCGACAAATCAATGACTCGGCCCTTGGCCCGCAGATACAAATAATCTGCGTCTGGCTGGCGTTGATAATCTCCTTGTTCCGAGCCACCAAGTCATCAAGAACAGAAGACTCTTCAATGACTTTTTTCTTCATTGAAAGCGGCCCGAGTCTCTGTAATTCATGTGTCCACACTAATACGTTGTTCTCGTTGAAGAGACAACCTTTTAGTTGCCATGGAAGCTCGTCGCTTATCACGACATTGTGATTCCCGATGTCGTCCAGCGCGTTCTCATACCAAGACACTGTCATGTAGTCCAGCATAAACCCGATTTTGGCGGATAGGCTACCCAAAAATGGGGTAATGTGGCTAGATTCTAGCGTCGTGGCTCGGGATGGCGTGTTCTTACTCGTGAGTAAACCCATAATCGTTTCATAACGTTGGTCGCTCTCAACGGAATTTTTCAAGGCGGCTATATAGTCGTCTCGGGTCCAGAGTGGACATTTGGACATTCCACGAAGCTGAGGGTTTCCCCGACTTGCCTTTTTTTTGTTCCGAAACTGGCGCCAAGCCGCAACCTGGAGATCAGAGGATCTCTCAACTCCATCTATTGAAAGAAGTCTGTCACTGGCTTATTTTGCCATGTTCTGTAGTAAAGGTGACATGGGATTAAGCCCATATCCGAGGTCACATTCCATCGAGTTCCAGGCTCGACGTCCTTTGGAGAAAAGCATCCCAAGATGACTAGAAAAGGCTACAGAAAATATATCTTCCATCAAATTGAGTTTCATCTGAGACCATGAAGTGTCCTGGTCCACTTCGTGATCTTCAGATATGATCATGACATTTGCTGTGCGGTGGCCATTGCCAAACCACTGTATGAAGTAGAGCAATGACTCCACAGAGTTCTTCGGAAAGTTTCGAAAATGAGCCGCGTAGATTCTACGCAAGGCCGAGGTGGTCTGGCCAACGTAAACCCGTGAATAAGATGGGTTCCTGTCGTCGGTGATGTTTATCAGGTAACATACCCACAGCTGCTGCAATAGGTGAACGACTTAGAGATTTTTTTAATTTTTTTAATTTTTTTAATTTTAAATTCAATTTTAAGTATAAAATATTATTCAACACTGAATGTTAAAAACACGTATTTATGTTTAAATTAAAAAAAATAATATAATATATTTTATAAAAATTAAAATTCTTTTAATTTAATTAAAACTTTAAAGTTATTAAAATATTCTAAGACTTCGGGTGACGAGGGGCACCGATACCGGAAGGTGGAGCAAAACAATGTGCAAAACAATTCAGTTTGCTCGTGACTTGGTTATCCAAGAGAGAACAGAAAGAAGAAGAGAATGCCCCGGAGGCGTGCCAGTGTAACCACGTGCCCTTGTTTGCGTGCCTTGACGGGATATTCCAACAGAAGGAGTACTTTTAGGCCCGAATAAAGGATCACTTGTGGAGCTAGTGTTTTCCAACAGGAGAAGTAATTGAGTGAAAGTTTGCTTTTCAGTGTTCTTTATCCATTATGTTTGTACATGAAAGCAAACGGCTACGCTGCTGCCTCTGGCAGACCGGACACCGAACAGGGGCCGTTGATGCAGTAAAAATACGGGGTAGATGGCGGAGAAGAAGTCGTGGCCGTGAAGTGAAGATCGCCCAATGGTGTAACTAAGAAGCGTCTTGTGTGTGTCGGAATGTCATGAGTTGTAATTCAATATAATCGGGCGGCAACAAACGCGGAGATCTTCAGGTACGTGAGAAAAAGAAAAAAAAAAAGTTTTAAATTTTTTTGGTTGCCCCTTATGGACTTATCTTGTAATGACAAAACACATTTAGATGCCGGCAGTGCCGTGCTGGAGAACATCGACCAACAATACCTGAATACAGTAATTTGCGGATGCGGATGCGGATTGCGGATGTGCGTTGTGTGGCAGCGTGCGGCGGCGTGTGAGTCGGACCGTGCCGGCAGTACAATAGAGCTGCAGGATGAATAAAAGAAACAATTATCGATTTGTGTCGTCTACGGAGTAGTCTGCTCTGCGCGATAACAAGCCAAGCCAAGCCAAGCCTCTGCCCAAACTACTACTTGCCTATACTCCGCGCTTGCTTATGCTTGGTACTAAGAACAATGTAAAACGCCCATCAACGCCATGCTGTTGTTTGGCAAAATTGACCACATATCAAACGTTCTGTATTCCCATTTCGCACATGTGAACTTTCAAACAGAAAAAAAATAACCACCGCCCTCCATTTCATGTACCATTTCATGTACCATTTCATGTACCATTTCATGTACCATTTCATGTACCATTGACCAGAAATACCCTCCATTTAAGCCCGACTACTGGCCGAGGAGTCTCTTCTCAACGAAGCGGACGAATCCGACCGATCGCTGTCCATGGAGGTCTTGCCCTCGGCGATGGGCGATCTCGAGCGCGCACGCAGCGCCGAGAGGTCCTGCGGGCTGGAAGCAGCAGTTGATGATCCGGCCGGGGTATTTGGGGAGTTGGGCTGACGGGCCTGTCGCCATGATGTGTAGAACTGCTTGCACAGGTGTGCTGACATGGTGTATGTGGGCGACATGTTGGAAGGGGGCGGTAGGAAGGAAGTAGAAGCGCAGGTATGTATTGTATTGTAATCGTAATTGTACGTGTCGATGAC